CCCGTCCATCGTACACTCGTCGTACTCTTTCTCCATGAAGAGGAAAGGGAAGTGGCACGGCTCCCCGTCTGCTGTCCCTCCGATGGCAGTGGTGACTGTCAGAGAACACAGGAAGGGTTAAATTATCATCTCTTGGATAAAACGCTCATTATTTGGCTAATAGGAATACGACGAATATTTTCTGTGATGACCCAATGTCACCAATTATAGAACAATCCTTCAATGTCACTTTTATACGTTTGCTGTATTTTATGACAATTTGGAGATCATGTGATCTCCATTATTGGCAAGTTAAAGCCCATCTCCGGGCAAACAAGGAACCCCAAAAGGTGAGACCCCCCCCCCCTCCCCACACACACACTGCAAGGGTGACGCGCTGGTGTTTGTCTAGGGGAGCGGAGTAAAGCAGATTTACTTACCTGATCACTGCTCAGTCAGTGTTCACATCTCTCCCCTCTGGCTGGTGGAACGTCCATTGGCACCCTCATGTCTATGGACCCCACATTAGATGTGATGACATCAGTGGTCTTTAGAAGGGGGAGGGAGAGAGAGGATGCGGGTCTGTCTAGAAGCCCAGAGGGAACTGGCGGGGAATCAGGTAAGTCAGTCAATCTGCTTTACTCCAGCCCCTAGACATAAACGAGCACTCGCCATTTGTAGTGTCGGGTTTTTTTTGCCCCGAGATGGGCTTTAAAGTGACACGAAACCCTCAGATTTTTTAACATAAACCAATACTGTAATGTGCGCCTTGCTGTAATCCATGGTTGTTCCCCTTCTTTTTGCTGCTCTTCCTTTTAAATCCTCATCTCTTGTAATGGGGGGGGGAGAACTTCCCTTTTCAGCTCAGGGCCTCTTCCTGTAGTGCTGGCTCAGGCTACAAACCCATACAAACCTTCACACAGACACCGTGTATCCATTCCAGAGACAAGGCAGTCTGCTGCAAAACATGACAAGAGATGAGGATTTAAAAGGAAGAGCAGCAAAGAGAAGGATTGCAACCATGGATTGCAGTAAGGCGCACATTACAGTATTGTTTTATGTTAAAAAAATCTGAGGGTTTAATGTCACTTTAAGTTATTACAGATGTAAACTTTCAGGGCCCCTTTCTCTGCCTTTATACAATTCTGAATATGGTTCTGAAACCCGACAAAGTAACCAGAAGAATTGAAATATAAATATGTTAAAAAATACAACCAGTTTATCTTGGCACACGCGAGTGGTAAAAGGTTATTGTAAAAGGGTCTCCGGCCTATAGAGATGGAGACGAGGGATGACAAGTCAGTAAACTAAACCTAATACCCTGTTTCCCCGAAAATAAGACCTAGCTGTGACCATTCCCGGGGGCCGGTGGTGGCATAAGGGGGAACTTGAAGAGCCGCGGGAGAGAATCAGCGGTGCCAACGGCGCTAGAGAGTAAGCGAGGCGGCAGCGGAGGGAGCAGAGCCGCATAAGCCGATGCCTCCTCTATAGCCCCGCCTCTTGTCACAGGCGGAGTGATACCAAATGCGCTCCGCCTGTGAGGAGTCCATAGTGAAAGTGCGCTTCTCTCATTCTGGCCAGCGATTGGTTACCATATTGCTCTTGGAAAGGTGCGGCACCCCCCGATTGCCCCGATCACCATATTTTTTTACATGAATAAGTGCGGTTTGTTGTACATTAAAAAAAAAAAATTAATAAATAAGACCTAGTGTGTTTTTTTGAGCCAAAAAAATATATAAGACAGTGTCTTATTTTCGGGGGAAACAAGGTATTGTAGTCCATCCCGGGGGGGCGGAGCTTGGAGAGGTGACTACTTTACAACACACACAGGGACCATGGGGAACAGACGTAGCCCCCCTCCAGAAGGAAGGACATCTGAGGGGTTATAGGAATCCACAAATCCAGCATTTCACTTTCCACACAGAGCAGGCCGTAGACCTGAAATCACGGTGTAGCTCCTCCGGTGAGGCAGATACAAGGGTTTATCTTCCTATTACCGGTATAAAACAAAATCAGATCTGAGAAACAGGTTTCAGTTCACTTCCTGACCGCAGGCTTCTCGAGCAGTCAC